CTGTGGGTAAAAAGCAGATGATGAAAGGAAAATATGAATTCCAGGTGGGGAGGGGGTTTGATCTCTGCTTTTGTATCTCTCTTCTCTGGCAAACAGTACCTAGAGCTGGGAATCAGCTCTAGGCACAGTTTCCCCCTTGTTCCTCTTCTACGAGTGTTTGAGATGAGCAGCCTGCATTGACTCAGGATGTAAACCCCCCTGGAAAGAAAAGATGTACAGTAAGATTAGATGTAGGAGACACAGAGATGGAGAAGAGAATCACTTTGATTTATAAAAACCACTTTAGGAAACATCAGATATGACAAAATGTGCAAGTATTTGTTGTCCTTCAAACATTAATCCAGAACCAACCATGTACATGTAGAATTTTAAAGCTAATATTTAACCAAAACCTTTTTTTGACATTGTCTTTAGTACCAGACCAATAGAAGGCCTTCACCCAGCAATAAGCATCTTGTAATTCTATTTGATCAGTGGAGAAATCAAAGCAAACATCCAGACAATAAGGCCACGAGCCTCCGAATGAGTGCTTACTGTATATCACCAAATAATTCAGTAGGACTGATGACTGCTATGGCCAAAAGATGCTTTTTTTCTTTAATTTCAAAGGGGTTATTTTCTGAAACACACATTGTTTCTGAAATGGAAAGTTCATAATGATCATCTGGGATCTACTTTATGGCCTCTTGCTTCACACTACTTTGCTATTTATGAATATATGATTGTTTTTGAGGGCAGCATTTAGAAAAAAACAGGAGACAGAGTGGCCAGTCAAGTGTGGACTACTGGGCAGCAGAAACCCAGTGTGTCTCATCTTTAGCTGCAGACAGCCCTTCTCTGCAGAGATGTTGATTACTGTGGAGCATGCCCCAATAGATGTCATTAATCAAGTTAATGAAACACAATGTCAATAAGGACCCTAACAAGATTCCCTTGCACACCAATGGCCTGCCTGACATCAACATGAGAAACCCTGCTAATGGATTAACTGCTGTCCCTCTTGATATGGAGGATTATAAGCATTAGCCACAGAGTGAGATGAATGCAAAGATGCAGGAAACACAGACAACTCCTGGGTGATTTTGTTTTTGTAGTTGCAGTGAATAGACAATATCACCCTGGGTTCAG